AAGCAGAAGAAACGATATCAGAGATTGAAGATCAACTCAATGAAATAAAAACAGAAGGCAAGACAAGAGAAAAAAGAGTGAAAAGAAATGAACAAAGCCTCCAAAAAATATGGGATTATGTGAAAAGACCTAATCTACGCTTGATTAGTGTACCTGAATATGATGGGAAGAATGAACCTAGGCTGAAAAACATGCTCCAGGATATTATCCAGGAGAACTTCCCAAGCCTGGCAAGGCAGTCCAACATTCAAATTCAAGAAATACAGAGAACTCCACAAAGATATTCCTCACCCCAAGCCACATAATTGTCAGATTAACCAGGGCTGAAATGAAGGAAAAAATGCTAAGGGAAGCCAGAGAGAAAGGTCAGGTCACCTATAGAGAGAAGCCTATCAGACCCACAGCAGATTTCTCAGCAGAAACCCTACAAGCCAGAAGAGAGTGGGGGCCAATATTCAACATCCTCAAAGAAAAGAACTTTCAATCCAGAATCTCATATCCAGCTAAACTAAGCTTCATAAGTGAAGGAGAAATAAAATTCTTTATGGACAAGCAATTATTGAGAGATTTTGTCACCACCAGACCTGCCCTTACAAGAGCTCCTGAAAGAAACACTAAGCACAGAAAGAGACAAGTACCAGCCACTGCAAAAGCAAACCAGAGGGCAAAGACCAAAAATGCAATGAAGAAAGAGTCAACTAATGGGCAAGAAAACCAGCCAGCAACAAAACAGCAGGATCAAATCCACACATAACAATATTAACATTGAATGTAAATGGCCTAGACACCCCAATCAAAATACACAGACTGGCAAACTGGACAAAAAGTCAGAACCCATCAGTGTGCTATATTGAGGAAACCCATCTCACATACAAAGACTCAAAATAAAGGGATGGAAGAAGATTTACCAATCAAATGGAGAACACAAAAAGGCAGGGATTGCAATCCTAGTCTATGATAAAATGGCCTTCAAACCAACAAAGATCAAAAGAGACAAACAAGGACACTACATAATAGTAAAAGGAACAATCCAACAGGAAGAGCTAACTATCCTAAATATATACGCTCCCAACACAGGAGCACCCAGATACATAAAGCAAGTTCTTAACGACCGAAACTAGATTTAGACTCCCACACAATAATAGTGGGAGACTTCAACACTCCACTGTCAATATTAGACAGATCAACGAGACAGAAAATGAACAAGGATATCCAGGACTTCAATGCAGAGCTGGACCAAGTGGACCTAATAGACATATACAGAACGCTCCACCCCGAATCCACAGAATATACATTTTTCTCAGTACCACATTGCACTTACTCTAAAATTGACCACATCATTGGAAGAAAATTACTCCTCAGCAAATGCAAAACAACAGAAATCTTAACAGTCTATTAGACCACAGCACAATAAGACTAGAACTCAGGATCAAGAAACACACTCAGGAGAGAGATCCAAGATGGCTGATCACTAGCAGCTCGGGATTGTAGCTCCCCCTGAAAGCGCAGAGAACGAGAGGACGCCACACTTTCAGATGAATTTTTGCTGCTCACGCACCAGGTAATTCCCAGGGGAGGAGCTCCACGGGTCGCCAGCGCGACTCTTGTGGCTGGTGAGGCAGTTTTGCTGCTGCCTTGGTGCGGCGGTTCTTGGTGCACAGTCAGAAAAGCACCATCAATCTTAACACCACTGTTTTGGCCGGCGCAGTGGGTTGCTCAGATTTTAGTGCCGGGAATCAACAAGTTGGATGTCCATTCAGAAACCCAACTATAAAGACGGTAATTATAAAGACCACAAATGGATAAATCTATAACGAAGGGAAGAAATCAGCCTAAAAAGGCTGAAAATACCCAAAATCAGAACGCCTCTCCCTCTACAGGGGATCACAGTTCCTCATCAGCAACAGAACAAGGCCTGATGGAGAAAGACTGTTCCATTATCAGAAGCAGGCTTTAAAAAGTGGATGATAAGAAGCTTCTGGGAATTAAAAGAACTTGTTCTAACCCAATGCAAAGAAACGAAGAACTTCGAAGAAAGGCTTGACCAAATGTTAACAACAATACACAATTTAGAGAGGAATAAGTGAATTAATGGAGCTGAAAAATACAACACGAGAACTTCGCAAAGTATGCACAAGTTTTAACAGCCGAATTGATCAAGCAGAAGAAA